AACAGGAAGAGAAGAAATTAAAGTCGAGTTTGATTTTCTTCTGTTATTGTGTTACTGTAAAGCTGTTTTATCAGTGCTAAATTTAATATTGTAAATATCATGTATTGATTTATTAAACACACAAGACACGCATGCTTGTGTTCTTGTTTTTATTTACTTATTGTTATTATTTGTTTATACCAGCTCTTCACACATGCTTGAAAAATGACACCTGAATTGTCCATGTACAGTTTGATCTGAGATGTTTGATGTGAAATAGTGTGCAAAAATAGTCTTAGGACCCTCTGAATACAACGTATACGATTTATATCTTGTTTATTCATTACTTTCCACTGTAAATGTGTCATTTATTCATTTGTATCCATCAGCAAAGCTACAATAACCAGCAATAACAACCACTGAAAACAAGAGAGTTACCACTGAACTACCACTGAACACAAGGCAAGCAAAAGCCCTGGAACAGACATTAGTGTCTCTTTCCTTTATGTAGTGTTTTAACACTAGTGTTTTTTTTCTCTATCCTTGAGAATATCAATGAAATATAGAGTTGGATGGTGGGTTTGAACCTGTGTGTGCATTTGGATTCATTTCTCAACATTTCTTTTAAAGTAAAACAACTTTTCTAGCTGGCTATTGCTCAGTTAGGCACAACGTATTGACTCATAAATCATAATTCAGCTGACATTATGCACTTTTGAACATGGTAAAACTTCATTTCAGCAACACATTAACACAAAATTTGTGGGCTTATAATTATACGGTTATATCTGACGTTTTCGCTCACACTGAGTTAGCAAGAAACTCACAATGACATTTAATTGATCATTTAAATTACAAATATAACACTGTAATCAATATAGACTTGACTGAATAATCTGGCTCCATACTAAACTACATAACTACATAACACTACACTTTACAATAAAGGTAGCATTCATTTATTACAAATACTTATGGTCACAATCACTACTAATGCTAATAATTTCACTACACAACACATTTTTACACGTCAAAAATCCCATATAGCACAAACGAACATATATTTACTTTCAGATAGCAGCATTTTAGGCAAGACACTGCAGGTGAAGATTATTTAAACAACAGACAAATATATATCTGAGTGGATGTGAAGAACATATTCACTGCCAGAAATGGTGTCTCGTCAAGTAAAATGATCTTAAATATAGTGAATATATCTAATATTTCTCCTGTTGAGGTTGTTACAAGCTTTAAGACTATGTACCTTATTTCTAGACATTGTTCATTTTCAAAATGTGCTTGAAACCAGCAAACTGGTCTGCCAGTACAGTGAGATAATTTCACTAATAAAATGACCTAAAACAAGTAAAAAATGTCTAGAAATCAGCTGGTTAATCTTATAATAAGTGCACAACCATCTCAAAATGGGAAATATTAGACATATCGACTAGACTTAAGATCATTGCACTTGATAAGACATCATTTTTTGCAGTGTTTCTATTGAGTTTTGAAATGCTTATGATTACAGTTTAAGAGAAGGCAAGTTACAGGTGCAATTTAAATTTAAAGAATGTGAAAAATGAATGACAGGACCAAAATCAACATCACTGCTGCCTGCAGTGTTTTGCCTTAAACCAACATGATAAAATAACATGCAGAGACATACAGAATATTACAACACAATTCATGATATTTGTGTTTTTTTTGTTGTTTTTTTTAAATATGCTCTCCTCTTCACTACCTGAATGCTTTCTACTTTGCATCTTCACAACAGCACTCTGGCATCATGTGATATCAAGGGGTGAGTGAGGTTGAAGGGGTCTGAGAGGTTGCAGCATGGTGCATTATGGTGCCTCTGGACGCCCTAAAATCATTGAACGTTTAGACTGGGCTCGTCTGAGGAGCCTTGAGAGCGAGAGACAAGCCGTGTAAGTTATCGTCAGTCTCTGGTCGTCTCACAGTAATTCTGAAACCACAAAGACGCTGTAGTGCCCGGCGCACCTCCATGTTTCTGAAACCGTAAGCCAGAGGGTTGACACATGGTGGAACCAAGAGCAGTAACACATAAACCAAGTGGTAGTGCGCTTCCTCATCGATCCCACAGTTGGGGAGGGTTGTCCTTTCTGTGGTGCTCCAGAGACTCTGTTTCATGTTTTTCTGCAGTGCTCACTGTTAGGTTCAATTTTAGTGTTAGTCAAAAATTGGGGATTAACATTTTTAGGGTTTTTTAGGGATAGTTTGTTCATTTATGGTCCCAAATATTCGGCTTTAAAAAAGGACAAAGTGGTGCTTTTAAACTTTTTGTTTGGAGCAGCGAAGTTGGCGATCTGGTGCACGAGGAAAAACAGGATTAAGGGGTGTGGAGGGATTGACCCTGTCCTAATGGTGAGAGGTCTTGTGATGAAATGACTCCATGTTGAATTTGCATTTTATAATCTTGTGAATGACCTGGACACCTTTTTTCATGTGTGGGGGGGTGGGGGGCTCATTTGTGAGCCGGATGGACTTGGTGGGTTTGTGGTGAATTTGTAAGGTGATGGTTTTGCTGCATTTGTGCTGATTTCTGTGTGATCTGTTTTTAGCGTTTACTGGTTACATTAAAGGTGTTTTGAAAGTCAAAAGTCTCTCTCTCTCTCTCTCTCTCTCTCTCTCTCTCTCTCTCTCTCAACTCTTAGAGTTTCAGCCTGCTAAATTCTGTCTTAAGGCATTTGTCTTAGTTCAGCCTCTGTATATAGAAATATGTATGTAGAAATACAGGCCTAATTAAGCTCCTCTCATGTGTCCAGCTACACTCAGCGGTTATACTGGACTGGAGGCCTGACGTTTACAGTGTTTCGCCTTCATCTCGCTCTGATTATGATCTGTTCAGAGCAAATGATCTTAATGAAGAAGGCTTGTTCTGCTGGTTAGCTTGTTGTTCATGATGCATGTGTTTCGTTCACTTGACGTTATTGATCAGGCTGTGCGTGTGTTCCTAAAGGTCTCTTCACATTAATGACAGATGTGAGTCGCTTACATACCTAATAAAGCTATTACTGTTTTGATCAAGTTTGTGTTAGATGGGCGCCTACCTGTGGGTGGTCCCACCTCCCACCTCAGCCTGCTGATTCCTTTCATTAAGCCTTGTCTTAGTTAAGCCTCTGGGGGTGAGGGTATGTGTGTTTGTATAAATGTGTTGACCTGCTGAGATGATTTTTCTCTATTCTCAGTTCTCTAAGGAGGGTATTTATTCACAAAGTAATGCATGGGTCATGACCTAACATATGTTTTGTTGCATATCTCTTCTTTTGAGTTGGATGGTCTGTTTGAACATGTAAGCATTTAGAAAAATCTCTCAACATTTGTTTTTCTCAATTTTTTTATTCATTCTTCTCATCATTTACATGTTATTGTTCATGTATTCCTGAAAAAAATCCTATTAAATTCCATAATCAATTGGTCCATAATCAATCATGTGGTCTTGTCTTTTTAGTTGTTGGGGCGTATCACAGCACTCAAATTATGAAAGGATGTTTTTTTCCCCATTTCTAAATTTGTACTAGAGTCATGCTGTGGTAAATTACCAAATATACCTACCCAAAAAAAACTTAATTGAGGCAAGTAAAAGTACTGAAACATTTGTGAGACAAACATTGTGAGACATCATTTATGTAGCCAGCACTTTTATTTTTATTTTATTTACAAACAATAATATCATGACATTTAAAAGGACTTATTATTTAAAAAAAAAACATCCAGCTGTATGCATCTCTCCAAAACTGCCTGGAATAACCACATTGAAAAAAAAGGTGCACAATTTTCTTGACAGCAGGAGTACAAAAAGCACGTTATGTCTCCAAATCTCTTCTGAAAAATCTCACCAACCGGAAAGAAGCTGAAGATAATTTTATATTGTGTCTCTTAAGCTCAAGAGTAACAAGGCAGTGACTGATAAAAAATAAAAAGGTTTATCTCTCATTCGTGCCTCAACACTGCAGGAAGTAGGAAAGTGAAAACCACCAAAAAGAAGACATTTAAACTCATTACTACAGAAGTCTGGAGAGGCCATGAGCTGTTGCTATAATTTTATGGGCTGTTATCTTGAGATAACGAGTTAATTATCTTGTGATCTCAAAATACCAACTTTGTTTTCTTGAGATCACAATCACTTAGATTGTTAACTCAAAACAATGAGTTAATTATCCTGTGATCTCAAGATAACAACTTAGTTTTCTTGAGATCACAAGATAATTAATTTGTTACCTCAGGATAACAGTCCAGAAAAGTGTAACTACCTCATGGCCTCTTTGGGCTTCAATGAAAACGTGGACTTTAATAAGGAATTCTGAAGATCGCTTTGGATGAGACTCAAGAAAGCTGAGGGAACTGTTTTACAGATCTTCTCATAACCCTTACAAGTAGTATTTATGCCATATTTTGCGACAAAACACTTAAAAGACAAGAAACATCCATCACTGTCCAGTAAATCATGAGCAAAGAAGAATCCCCTTTCGACCCAATCGGCTTGTAGTTCTACAGTTACAGACTGTAGTCCATCTGTTTCTCTGCATACTTTGTTAGCCCCCTTTTACCCTGTTCTTCAGTAGTCAGGACCCCCATGGACCCTCACAGAGCAGGTACTATTTGGGTGGTGGATCATTCTCAGCACTGCAGTAACACTGGTGGTGGTGTGTTAGTGTGTGTTGCGCTGGTGTGAGTGGATCAGACACAGCAGTGCTGCTGCAGTAACACTGAACCACATCAGTGTTACTGCAGTGCTGAGAATGATCCACCACCCAAATAGTACCTGCTCTGTGAGGGTCCATGGGGGTCCTGACCACTGAAGAACAGGGTAAAAGGGGGCTTACAAAGTATGCAGAGAAACAGATGGACTACAGTCTGTAATTGTTAAGCGCCGCTTATCCACCGAACGTCTGCGCCAGTTCTGCGCAGCCTCAGTGTTCCTGTGTTCGCGGGCGGAGTCACGCTGGTTGCTGGGAGACGCTGTAGCCACCGCCACTCTTCCTTGTGCGAGCGGGAGGGAAGCGGACACAGCAAATCCCTGGTTTGGTAAGCAGCTGTAACTACAGTGAACTGCGCTCAGCCGAGGGCTGTTAATACTGTAAGTGTTTACAATGTCATTCGTTACAAACAGGTCAATCAAAAGGAGCTGAAAACACACAAACTAGCTTTAGTTTGAGCTTCCAGCTGCGGTGAGAGACGCTGCTGTGTTCGGGGGCGGAGCTTTACCTGGTTGCTAGGAGACGGTTTTTCAGCCGTTACTCTCTCTGGTTTCTCTGGAGTGAAGCTGAGCTGCTAGCGGTTCTACTTTTTAGCCTTTGGTTTGAAATAAAAATACGCGAAATAGCCAGTATTTGCTGTTTGAACACGGTAAGTTACAGCTAAGAAGCTAAACAAAAGGTATTTATGTCAGCACGTTTTATAACTATAGTTCTGAACTTTTTTTTATTGATGCCATTTTTACTGCTACGCTAAATGGGTAGCTAAAATAGCTAACAGCAGCAAAATAATCCAAAATAGCACAAAGTGGAATAACTTACTATCAAATAAATAAATAAATAAACAACATTTTAAGCCAAAACTTTATAGCAAAACTATCATAAAACAATGTATCGGACATCAGCATACCATTTCATTTAATAACTTTATGTGAGTGAGCTTTTAGAGGTGGACGTTTGGTTCCTATCACCACCACTGTGAACAACTCTGACTCTGTAAGTTTCTGCAGAACAGAGCATTTTACACCAAACCGCTCTGAATGACTTTGTTTACATCTCAACCATTTAATTATGTAGAATTCTGGAAAAATCAGTGGAGTTTCCCTTTATGCAAGCCAACAATACGTGTAAAGGTACTGTAAACGTAACTTGGCTTTTCTCCTCTGATGTCTTTAACCAACTTGGGGATAAAAATCATTACCAGAGACGTTTTAGAGGACTTTGAATGTACTGCATGTGCTGCATTTGCTCACTGTGATGTAATGTAAATACATACACACAAACACACCCAGGACAAACAACAGTAGCTATTTAAATGGAAAATCTACCAATTTTCATTATTTCTGAGATGTACATCTTTGAGATGTAAACAGGGTTATTGAGAGTGGTTTGATGTGAAGTGGTTCATTGTAGAGAAACTTACAGACTCAGATTTCTTTAAAGTGATGATGATAGGAACCAGGGGTTACAATGTCACACAAATATAGACATGTTATGTACTATCTGAAACCACCAGGGCACCTACACATGTCTTCTGAGTTTTACATGCAAATGTAATGATGGCGGTAAAACAGTCATAAATCTGAAATAATAAGTTTTCTTTGGGGACTATTTTGCCTTACAATGCCCTGCATGTACTCTTTACTGTCAATGGATTAAAATACATTTTAAGCCAAAACTTTATCACAAAACTATCATAAAACAATGTGTCAGATATTAGGCACCATATATCTAATCATTTCATGTACTAACTTTCTGTGAGGGAGCTTTTAAGAGGCTTTAAATGTCTTCAGACATCTGGTTCTTATCACCATCACTGTGAAGAATTCTGACTCAGTAAGTTTCTCTAGAACAGAGCATTTCACACCAAACCACTCTGGAAGACTTTGTGTATGTCTCAACCATTTAACTATATAGAGTTTTGAAAAAATTGGTGGAGTTCTCCTTTAAGTAAGCCAATAATAAATGTAAAGGTACTGTGAACGTAACTTGACTTCTCTCCTCAGATGTCTTTAACCAAGTTGGGGTTTAACGTAAAGGGAATTCCACCAATTTCTAAAATTCCTGCATAAATTATTTGTTTAGTTGTAATTAAAGTCGTTCAGAGTGTTTTGATGTGAAATAGTATGTTCTAAAGAAACATTCGCTTTACAGTGGTGGTGATTAGGAACAAGGGGTTGCAATGTCTACAGTCCAAATATAGCCATTTTATTTACTATCCTCAGTGAACCTCAGTGCTTAGTGAACCTACATGTGTCTTCTGAGTTTTTATGTAATGCTAATAATAGCAAAGTAGTAGATATAAATACAATAAAACAATTTTCTTTGGGGACTTTGCCTTAGAGTGTCCTGCACGTACCTCTCTGCCATACATGGCTTTTAAAAAATGACTTTTAAAAAATCGTACAACAAAGTCAGGCAATGTATTTGTAACTGTTTTATGTCATAACTTTCTGTAAGGTAGATTTTAAAGGCATTAAACTCCATCAGTTCCTCAGTTTCCTTAGCACTTCACATCAGACCCCTCAGAATGACTTATATTTAATTCTAATCTCACAATTATTGATTTCTCTTTAAGGAAAATGGTGATGGAGAACTATGAGGAGTTTTACAGGAGGTGTGTGCACAGAGTGAACACAGAGGCTCAGTGCAGTGCAGAGCCTAGCCACAGGGGGGTGCAATCGGCCATCCATTTCCGTGGCAGGCCTGTGCTACAGCCAAAGGTGATACCAAAACTAAATTGTGAAGGGTGATGCATTTGATTTTGTTATTCTGTCTGATACCAGGTGATACCAAAACTGTAAACCTAATACTGATACTTTTAAAAGACTTCATACACATGAAAGGGTAAAATTCATACATGTAAAAAGGTTAATTCTTGTGATTTCGACGTAAATATGAACATTACATAACATTATATATTGAAAGTTATGCAGTGAAGTCTATTATTGACATAGCCTATTGTTTGTATACTGAGCTGTTCGGTCTACATCTTGAGTAATGGTGACAGCGCTAAAGGTAAATAACATTTCTCTGTTATTACAGTTGACTAGTTGTGAGACATGATGGAACCTTTGAGTAAAGAGAAAAGTGTAATTTGTGTGCGTGTGTGTGTGTCCACACAGAGTGGGTTTGATTAGCCTGTTTGTGTCAGTATTGAGTTCGTTCAGGTAACAGAGACTTTTGTAATGTGGTGTAACAGCTCATCTCAGGTTACTCCTTTTTTTTCTAGAAAAGGTGCATTTAAAGTCATTAATCATTAAATACGTTTCACATAGAGAGGTTGAACAACATTTTGCTTACATCTGTTGCTCTGAAAGCATCATTTATTTGTTATTATTGGTTTGAATAACCACGCTCCACACACTTATTATGGAGTAAATACTTTATTAAGTCCATGGTATTTTGTGCATGTTTCTGTGTGTAGCTAAGTGAAGAGCAGCGTATAGAAATGGCCAAACAGAGACAGAAAGCAGTGGAGAAAGAAAGTGAGAGACGCACACTGAAGACCAGCTCTCTGCTGGACAGAGTGCAGGACATCCTCAATCGTGTACAGGTAAGTAAAAACACTTTGCAGTTTATACACCTCACTGAACTCCACAGGCTCAGCAGTATGTTATAAGAGCTTTCACACACACACACACACACACACACACACACACACACACACACACACACACACACACACACACGTTTTTAGTTGCTTTGGGAGAAGCCAACAGCATCTATGAGGAAGCTGAGAACAAATGAATCCTTCTGACGTTTGTAAAAAAAGTTCTAGTTGCTGAGACACAGTTGAACCATCAGTTAGGTTGTCGACATGCCAGCGGCAGACGACGGTGATTGGTCAGTGAGCTCATGCTGCTGGCAAAAGTTCACAAAAATCAAACGGAGAGCAAATTAAATAAGGCTGCTTTTTCGCTGTTTGAAAAGTTGGGTTTGGTGTGTGCAAGATATCAGTTACACATATGCTTGAATTTATTTACTGCTGACTGAATAAATAATGCATTCAGTGTGTAAAGGCCTTTACTGTGTACTATAAAAGTGCTTGCAATGGTATTGTTAGCTATTAGGATTCCACACAGGATTTACTTAGTAAAATTGTCACACTGTAGAAAACGGCTCATCAGCTCAAACTAAAAAAAATTACTTCATACAGTAACAAGCAATTGAACTAGTTTTATTCAACTCAAAAACTACGTTGATTGAAAGAATAGTTTATTCAAAAGTATTTATTCAGCTTGAATAAAACTAGTTCATTTACTTGTTACCACATGAAGTTGAAGTACTTTTTTAGGTAGTGATGCTTTTGTGATTTTGTATTTTTTTGCTTACAGAAGAGCTTAATTAGAATTTTGTTTGATGCAGCAAAAAAGTCTGTACTTACTATTTTAATTGGAATTCGCAATATGCAACAACTTTATCAAACATTGCATTTTATGTTAATACACTGTAAAAAAATGGCTCATCAGATCAACCTAAAAAATTACTTCATGTGGTAACAGGCAATTGAATCAGTTTTATTCAACTTGAAAAATTACACTTACTGAAAGAATCAGTGATTCAAAGTGTTTATTTAGATTGAATAAAACTAGTTAATTTACTTGTTTATCTGACGAGACACCATTTTTACAGTGTATCATGCAGCCTTAAGGACTAAACTAATTTACTGTATGTCAGTAAGTATACTATATTTTTATTGGGTGTTGGCAAATGGATTTAAATGTAAAATATTTTTGAAACTGTGAAAAAGCACTGCTTGCTTCTGTACCTTTGGCCTGTAGTGTTTACCTCATTTACGGTGATATGAAGGTGCTCTGTGCTGGGCAGAGGTGTAAAAATCTGATCTCACAAGGATTCGATTTGATTACAGTTTTTAGGAAACAAAATCAGTGCATGAACAAATCTCAGATTTCACCACGATTGAATTTGATTATTGGTACAACTGAATTATTGTCAAAAATGCAATACATACACAAATGTGATTTTAGGAACTGTGGTGACTGTATTCCAGTACCGTTATAGAAAAATACACCTAGCTTTATGTTCTCTGCTTAAAGAAACCCAAAATAGCGCTCTTTATGGAATATTACATTTAATGAGAATATTCCCTAATATTTCCTTAATTACTTGTCAGTTCCACTGATGCCTTTTTGCACTCCTAGCCCTGAACATCTGTTTTTTTCAGTTGAAAAACGTGCAAGCTATGGTAGACACTGAAGTGGAGCAGGGTGCAGAAGCCTCCTCTCCAGACCTACAAGCTCTGTCCACCAGGAGAACACACCAAGAGGACCAGCTGCCCACTGGCTTCATCCCCAGCTCCAGCAGCAGCAGCAACACTCTGCGGAGAAAGACCCTTAGGCTCCTGAATAGCCGAATGGAGAAGATGGGGAAAAGAGGAGAAGAACAGGGAGAGGATGAGGTGGAGGGAGAGAAGACTAGCACTGGGACTTGGCCAAGCCGTCTTGGAGACATTCAAAGAGGAATTGAGGATAAAGCAGGAGTTGCAGACTTGGAATCACAGTGCGCTAAAAGAGCAGAGGGACAGATGGAGAGTAGAAAGTGCCCTCCATATCAGAGAGACTGACAAGGAGAATGAGATCTGTGCATTGGAGTGCATTGACACTGAGGCATCCGGCTCTCTGTTGGCTAGTCTTTCACTTCCTGCCAGTCTGATGGGGTCTTATGTCCAGTTACCTAGCCTTCAGCGAAGCTGCAGCCCCCCTACCCACCGCTTAAGGAAACCATGTCTGTCAACCGCTGGCAGCATTCTCATCTCTCTACCCATCAGTGAGTTGGAGCTGAACAAGACAAATGCAGTCCATTGTGAATCACATGTTGTAGAAAACTCCAGCAACGGAATGACCAAGTCTGGTGAGTACTGGAACTGCAGTTGCTCTGAGCTGAGCAGTAAAAAACCTCTTTTGGTCAGCACCTCCACTCCCAGCAGCTCTGCCAGCATTACACCCAGGAGACCTGTCACCCTATCTCACACACCCTCGCCCAACCAGCCAGGGCCTGCTCCACACAGAGAGAGGGACAGACAGAGCCACAGTAGCCCCTACCAACGCACTCCGCCAGCTCCACTGAACCAGTCCTATGATGTGGAGAGCCCCTCGCCCTCCCTGCTCAGGCCCCAGGTCAGCTCAGGCCCTGAGCTCTTCACTGAGCCTGCCCGACGCAGGCTGGAGCTTGGACAATGTCCACAACACCCCACAGAGGACAGCAAGACCCCGGGGCATCTGTGTGAAACCCCTAAACTTCAGGATAAAGCAGTAGGTGAGTGTGAATCAGACCAAACCGAACAAAATACAAGGATGCTTGTGTATAAGCTGAAAACCCTAATATGAGCTTTGTCTCCAGTGCAGTCCTGTGTACCTGTGCATGTTTTGCATATTACAAAGCCGTCTAGACAACTGAAAAATATTAAGGAAAGAAATATTTTGAAGTTTTGATTCAGGTGTAGACATGTCTTGAGAATACAAATACTGGAAAAATTGCACTACCTGTCCATTTCTCCTCGGGGGAGTGCCAGGTGCCGTCTTAAAGGCTGTTTCATTACTATGTTAGCTCAAGTGAAGTTTTTTTTGAGCCCTCATAGGGACGAGGGATCGAATGAACATAAGTTTCACCAGAAATAACTGTGACCCAACACATTTCCATGAAAAAAAATGGTAGATAAAGCTGTTTGTAAGCCATAGCAATTAAATACTTTAACATGCTTAATATTTTAAAACCATGACATTCGGTTTGTAATGTTCTTACTGGGTTTAAAGGTAACTACTCCTTCTGGTATACATGAATACTGATATGTCATTACTCCTCTAGCTTGCTAGTTAGCAAGCTAAAGGCGACACAAACAAAGCTAAAGGCTTAAAGCAACAACAAAAAAAGAAAGGTAATACACCACAGTACAATACAATAGCAAAACTTGTAGCCAGACCAAGCAGTAATTTTGTAAATTATATTCACACAGCTCAAAAAAGTTCTGCATTGCAAAATTAGCACAGCTAACTGATTTGTTACTGAGTGAAAAATTTGCTCCTCACTGTTTTCTCCCCACCTGTACTGTGAATGGCCACTTGTGTTACGAAAGTGTGACACACTTTAAAATGAGCTATTTTTGTAGAAGTACTCTTCAGCATTTGCTTATTTTGTAAAAGTACTGATGGCTAACGTTTTCCTTAAAGGGGAATTCCACCAATTCTTCCAAATGTCTGCATAATTCAGTGGCTGAAGTGTAAAACACTCATTCAGAGTGTTTTGATGTGAAGTGGTTTATTGTAGAGAAACTTAATGACTCTGATTTATTAACAGTGGTAGTGATAGGAACCAGGGGTCCTGATGTCTACAACACAAATATAGACATTTTATTTAATATCCAAAATCACCAACGTACACAAGATCTGAGGTATTTATATGTAAATGTTGATGATGGTAAAATAGTGGTAAATCTGAAAAAAAGAGTTTTCTTTGCAGACTGTTTTGCCTTAGAACACCTTTTATGTATCCCTCTGCCGTTAACAGATTAAAATAAATTGATTAAAATACATTTTAGACCACTTTATGTCAAAACTATCACAAAACATAACTATTTCATGTAATAATTTTCTATGGTGTAGCTTTTAGAGGCATTCAACTCTTCAGACATCTGGTTCCTGTCACTCTCACTGTGAACAATGCTGACACCATTTTGCACCAAACTACTCTAAATGACTTTTTTTTACATCTCAGCCATTTAATTATGCAGAATTTTTGAAAATTGTAAAATAGTTGTGACTTAAACGAAAAGTGCTATACAAAGATTTATTATTATAATTATTATTATTATTATTATTACTATTATTAGTTATTATTACTGTATAGATGATCACGCTCAAAAGAATGAAACGTGACCAACAGCCAACCTGTATGCTACCTAAAATGCAATTTACCTTTGAAAAGAAATGATAAATGGGTTTTGAACAGCAATATGTAACACTGTAGCATAGTGAAGTACTTTTGAAAAATTATAATTGATTTAAAATACAGATTCATCCAAATCTTATAGAAGAACAAGTCATTGTGTAAATATATCGTATTACTATGCCTGGTGTGTTGCAGGTGAGGTCCGCCAGCAGATCCAGGTTTTAGAAGCACTGCATCAGCGTTTGGAGGAAGACCATGCTCACCAGCTCTCTCACCAACTCAAAACACAGGAAAAAGAGACACAGCGCCTCCAGCAGGTCACGATCAGCTATCACAACACCGGGCTTTTTCACATACAGTGGGTGGACATAATAACGGAAATACTTAACATTATTATGATCATGTCCTTTGCTTGATGATCAGTGTGTAGCGTAATATTGGGCCTTTATTCATGAAGAAAGCCCCCAAAACATTTCATAAAGGGTCAGTGGTGTCACATCTGGTCATTGAAGAGACCATGGAAAATGATTAAGTATTATATTAAAAAATGCTGTAATTACTAATTGCCCTCATAGTTCATACTTGTATTTATTAGATTAGGTCCAGCTATGAATAAGGTTCTTGTCTTTTAGGCAACAATTCCTTAACCCCTGGTTACTTTGTATCAGTTTGGCTTCCAACATTTGCTGTCAGTTTGTGTAAAAGAATCTGCTAAATGTATAAATGTAATTTTCAAATTTTTTTCAGATCATCAAACTACTTTCAATATTAGACAAAATAACTCAAGTAAAAAAATGCTGTTTTTAAACTATGGTTTCATTTATTGAAGGAAAAATGCTGTTCAGCCCTACCTGGCCCTGTGTGAAGTCGTTGACTCCTGACCCACTAAATCGACCGGTTACGAAATTCTGTTGACTATAGGGTTCAATTTCACTGGCCACATTCAGGCGTGATTACTGCCAGACCTGTTGAATCTAAACCATACTTAAATAGAACCTGTCCGGCATTGTGAAGCAGCTAGAAGGTCTCAAGCAGCACACGATGCCACATACTCAAGAGATATAAATATAGATGTGGAACAAAGTCACTGAAATCTACCAGTCTGGAAAGGATTACAAAGCCATTGCTGATGTCCTGAGACTCCAGCGAACCACAATGAGAGCCATTATCCACAAATGGAGAAAACTTGTAACAGTGGTGAAGCTTGCCAGGAATTGGCCAGCCTACCAAAATTTCACCAAGAGCACATTGATGACTCATCCAGGAGGTCACAAAAGAACCCCAGATGAATATCTAAAGAACTGCAGGCCTCTTTTGTCTCAGTTAAAGTCAATGTACATGATTTCACAATAAGAAAAACACTGAGCAAAAATGGCATCCACGGGAGATTTGCAAGCTGCAAACTTCTGCTGAACAAAAAGAACACAAAGGCTCGTCTCGCATTTGCCAAAAAAAATCTGGAAAACCCCCAAGACTTTTGGGATAATATTCTGTGGACTGTTGATTCTGAACTTTTTGGAAGACATGAGTCTTGTTACATCTGGCGTAAAGCTAACACTGCATTCCACCATAAGAACATCATACCAACAGTGAAACATGGTGGTGGTATTGTGATGGTCTGGGGCTGCTTTGCTTCTGCAGGACCTGGACGACTTGTCATAATTGATGAAACCATTAATTCTGCTCTCTATCAGAAAATCATCAGGGAATGTCTGCATGTCAGTTTGTGACCTAAAGCTCAAGCGCATTTGGGTTATGCAGCAGGATGATGATCTGAGGCACACAAGCAAGTCCACCTCTGAATGGCTCAAAAGAAACAAAATGAAGGTTTTGGAATGGCCAAGTCAAAGTCTTTACTTGAATGACATTGAAATGCTGTGGCAGGACAGGCAGTTCATGCTTGAAAACCCCCCAGTGTTGCCAATTAAAAAACTAATTTGCAAAGAAGAGTGGGCCAAAATGTCTCCACACTGATGTAAAAGACTCATCCTAAGTTATCGCAAACATTTGATTCCAGTGACACAACCAGTTGTTTGGGGGGGCAGTAACTTTTTCACATGGGTGATACAGGTTTTGAATTAATCTTTATCTTTACTAAATGTAATGATCATTTAAAAGCTGCATTTTGTGTTTACTCGTGTTGTCTTTATCTTATATTAAATTAGTTGGATGATCTGAAACATTCAAACGTGACAAAGCAAATCGAGTGAGGGGCAAATACTTTTCCTCAGCACTGTAAGATATTTGATTTGTTGGAACTTGGTTAGTTGCCTTATGTTGCTTATGAAGCGCTGGCAGCCTGCTTTCCTCCACAGCAGTCTGTAGCAGGGCTGCATCTAAATAGTTGAATGAAACGTCCTTCCTGTTAGCTATCTTTGATTTTGCCTGATTTGTATCACATCGCCTCACTGAACTTATCGGCAGAGCTGACTAGTATGTGGATTCACATGCCTGCAGATCAAGGGAAGCAGATAGGATGGCCAGATTCATTCTTTTGACACAGCCATACTACTTATCAGCATTCAGCTTAATATGATTTACCTGTACAGCTGCCTTTGTCATTTGTGCCTTCAAAGTTAAAGTCCTGTTTTTGCCTGTTTACATTATTTTATCCTCTGTTAATTCTGAATGTAGTGCCTCAGATATTCCAATTCATTTTCTGTGCATGTGTATGTGTGTGCTACAGTACTGTACAAAAGTC